TGTTGGATGCAAACACTTGTTGCATTGATTATCCAATCCTTGTCTAGATATTGATACCCTGAATCCTATGTAGTTTAGGTTCGTGTAGTGCTTAGCCCTGCTTAAACACGGTAGAAGTCAGGTGATTTCCTGTCACCTGCGAGATATAGAAAGATACATATGGCACGGTTGGCTATATTTGCTATCGTAAAAAAGAACCAGTCTTAATTTGAAATGAAGACCGGACGGAGGCTTGCCGGTTTGCAGTGACTCCGTCTGTGTCGCTTAAGGACTGAATCTTGGAGCCTTTCCTGTTCATGTTGAATGCATGCCTCTCTCTTAGTTGGCCGGGTCTGGAGACCGACCATGAAGCCGAGTAGCTCACCTTAGGCCGGGAGTCGATAAGTATAAAGTGCGCCTTGGAAGGGAGCCGTAGGCATGAGTCCAAGGGCAGGTGATTTAAAAGTCCTGATCGTCCTGGCAGAAGGGTAATCCCTGAGAGTGCTGGCGCTGATCGAACCCACGAATTTGGTTCCTGAGTTGTTCCAAAGGTGACCCACGGCTACCCTTGCAAAGTATGTCAGGGTGAGAGTTAGGAATACCCCCCTCAGCTGAGTTGTAGTTCGATTCGAGTCGCCGTCTCTCCCGGTTAGTGAGAACTTGACGGGCTTATCTCCAAAGTAGATACACTAAATAACATAATGGTTCGAAAATGATGATATGATGATGACAGTCTTATTATACCTGCTATGGTTAATATTGATTGCTCCTAATAAGTGAGTGCTCTAGTACAGGTGCTAATCTAGTGGACAGGTAAATGATGATAAGCTTGATGCTAAGTTTAAATTGGTCACTATATTCATAAGCTCTTTTATGCAAATGTGTCAAGCTAGCCCACCTCATAAGCCTTGCATGATCCTTGGTGTCTTTTATTTCTGGTTTTGTCGGGTAAGTCTAGCTGAGTACCTTCTCGTACTCAGGGTTTATCTCCCACCTGTTGCAGATAACCAGTTCTACTTTGGTTGCTGCAAGTATTGTCTTCTCCCGGCTGGGGATGAAGACTAGACCGTTGGGCGCGGTCTCTCCTAGTTCTCGTATCTGAAGATGCTTTTGTGGGACATGACTAAGATCTGGCAATGTATTTGGTTTGTAATATTTTATTTAAACTTTGATGGATGTCATCCGAATGCTACTTGTGAAATGTTGTAACGAATGATGTGTTGTGTTGAATCACTACGGTCTTGGTTTGTATGTCGAGAGTTGGTTGAAATCCTTCGTGATTTCCGGACTACCGGGATTATGGGAGCTTAAGTACAAGAATTTGATCACTTCGGTGATTGTTTTTGTACTTACGTTCTTATGATTTGGTCGGTTCTGTTACAGAAACCATCATGCACGCATCGATAGGCGTGACTCACCGATGTTGATGTGTTTCCAACCTCTATGTCATCGGCTCGACGGTCCACCAAGTGCTCATGATGCCTTGCCTTGCCTTGATCCGACCCTGGCCTTGACTCTGGTCAACGCCATTTTCATCACCCATGTACTCTAGCTCTTCCATGTGCCCAATCCGAGCTGGACATGGTTCATCCTCGGCATTTTGGTCCTTCGGTCCAAGCCTTGTCCTCCCTTCACCACTCTTGGTCTGTCAAGCACAGACTCCTCACTTACCTTCTCCATAGTCTGTCGACCACCTCTGCGCACCCAACACCTACACATTCACAATCCAAGATACATGTTGCACAATACACACAACACAACACGACATGACACCTCCTATTAGCCATTAGCATAATTAAGAACATATAAAATATGAACTCAATCAAAAAAACCTCAAGCCTCTCAACTCTTATGTTTTTTTTGAACGTAAGATACATTAGGGGAGACCCCCACTGTAGGATTTTATTAAGGAAAAAAGGAATGAAAAGACTGTACAGAAAGGGTTCAGCCCAAGCCAAAAACAAAAACAACAGCAATTGCAAGCCTGAGAGGGGCTGCAGAACTAGACAAGAGAATCTATAAAAAGAAGGAACACATGGCGTTTATCTTCACAGAATCTATGAGCCTGTAGCCTAGCCTCTTCACAGAAGAAACTCTTCCACTAATCAAAGGAAGGACGACCTCTATCAAAGATGAATTCATTTCTTTGCTTCCAAATTTGCCAAGCATCAATGATGAAAATCTCGGTGAAGAAAGAGTTTTGAAATTGTTTCTTTGCTTGTTGCATCATCTGGAAAAAAATCTCATGCAAAATCCCAATGGATGCCTAAGTGCTGCCAATAGGTATGACTGAAGGGGCAGCAGAAGAACAAGTGAAAGGCAGTTTCTTCCGCATTGCTACTTCAGAGAATGCAGTTGTAATTGTTGCCTTCTAGCTTATGATTTTTCCTTTTTGAGATGTTCCTTGTGTTTAACCTATCCATAAGGAGGATCCATGAGAAGAATCTGAGCTTGTTCAACATTTAGAGTCCCAAATACAAATAAAGTGGGCTGGGGGGATGGACATTCCTGTAAGGAAAGTTTTAAAATTTTGAAGACGTGTATCTATTGCTTCCCCAAAGTAATGCCATGAGTCTTTTTTGTTTTCCTGAACTTGGATTATCTATATGTATTCCTGGAGGCTCTGACATTCTTGATGAGCATGTTCAGATAGTGGGAGGTGGAATTGTGACTCCAGATTGTTGTTTAACAAGAATTGTGATACTAAAATCTTTTTGTTTCTTGCAAAAGAGAAGTCTAGGATACTTGATTTGTATCACATTGTCACTCTAAAGGTCAGACCAGAATAGGACGGTGGATCCATCTCCAATGTTGCAATTTGCAATACCTCTGAAGAGATCACAAAGCTTTAGAATGTCCCTCCACCAAGAAGAACCTTTATCAACTGTGGCATGAGCAATCTCGCCATTAGAGTAGTGAGCATGCCAGACTAACTTCACCCAAGGAATCTCCTTCTTGTTATAGAACTTATCTAAGTGTTTTAGCAGGAGAGCAGAATTTTGACTTTTGAGATTAATGATGCCCAAGCCTCCTTTTCTTTTGGGTTTACAACATTTTTTCCATGCTACTAGGGGTTTCATCTTAGCATTGCTATCAGAGCCTCTCCAAAGGCAGTGCCTTCTAGCTCTGTCAATGTAATCAAGAACTGCAACTGGCAACTGAAGAGAGCACATTGCATATGTTGGTAATGAAAGAAAGAACTGAATTTACCAATTCCAGCATTCCAGCATGAAATAAGAAGTTTGAAGTAGTTGTAAGTCTTGTTTCAACCTTGTTCATGATAAATCCAAAATGGTCGACTCTGGATTTGGTTGTTCCCATTGGCAGCCAAAAACCCCAGCCAGCTGTTGGGCTTTTTCAGGTGAGAGATTCAAAGGAACTAGACAAGATTTTTTGAAGTTAACCCTAAGCCCAGTTGATTGGGAGAAGGATTCCGAAAGGCCTGTCAATGTGAAAAGTTCTCTCTGAGAAGCTTTCATGATTAAAATAGTATCATCAGCATATTGGATTATAGGAAATTGGGCCATCTCATAGGAGGGAATTGGAAGCTCAAACAATCCATCTCTATGACCTTTATTGATGATGCATTGGAGCAAATCAGCAGCCAAACAAAAGGAAGGGGGGAGGATCACCCTGCCTAACTCCACGCTTGCAATGAAAATGCTTTCTAGGGACACCATTGAGAAGGATTGATGAGGAACTTGAGGCAAGAATTCTTTGAGTCCAATCACACCATTTGTCATCAAAGCCAAGTTGCTTCATCATTTGGTGGATCACATTATGTTCCACAGTGTCAAAAGTTTTTGTGAAATCCAGTTTCAAAATAACTATTTCCCTCTTGGAATGCTGGCACTGATAAATATATTCATAAGCCCAGGCAAGACAATCATGTATTGTCCTAGTTTTAATAAAGCTATACTAACTTGTGTGAATAAGAGAGATTATCTTTGATTGAAGCCGGTTAGTCAATAGCTTTGTAGTGATCTTGATCACACAGTTTAGAAGAGAGATGGGTCTGAAGTCATTCACACTGGCACGATTGTTTGTTTTAGGGATAAGAGTAAATGAAGGAGCTATTTATGACCTGAAGGTCCAGAGAACCATTAAAGAAATCAAAGCAGAGAGTATAGAAGTCGTGTTTTATTAAATCCCAACAGCTTTTGAGAAAAAAAAGCTATTGAAACCATCTGGTCCTGGAGCTTTGTCAGCAGGCATTTGCTTGATAACTGTGGTCTCTCACACATAGATGAGACAAAGGCACTTCTCAACTTGATCTCTCAACTAGAAAATCTGGCATCAATTTGGGTGAGGCCAAATTTTGGCTACTACACTAGGAAAACAGTGCTGGCGCCGGACTCAATTTTTCACAAAATCTAGACTTGATTTGGGGTATACTGACCTGGTGTGCCAAGCGAAAGTATGACCTTGCCTGGGTTTTTTCGGCCCTTATTTGGTTTATTGAAGGACAACATCTAGCGCTGCCCGTGTGAACAAAGGTCAATTTTGGCCTGGACTAGAGTGGTGAAAACCAGGACCCCGATTTGCCTTGGTTGCTCCTGCCATGTTGCTAGGTGACGTGGCAGCAATCAGTTGGTTGAATTCAGTGTCTATATAATAGGTATTGCTTTATAATTAAAATCTACGGATCCTGACCCATGAAGGCCATTGCTAGACCAAACGGAAACGGTACAAAAGATGATACCAAACGTTATTCCATGGATGGAAGAATTGAATTACAACATTAACCTAAAGCGGCAAAAACACTAAATACTTAACCAGAGCATATAACATCATCATACATCGATCATCACAAATCCCAATTCTGGAAGAAAATGGTAGGGAGAAAAGACATGCTTGCATATAACATCATCGAGTTCTTAACGTAAGTGATCCTTCTGAATCAGGGGCGGAGCCAGACAGGTCTTACATCTGGTGCTATTATAATTGGAAACGCTAAACAAGTACCTGACTAATAGAAATTAGACTTGTTTTTCGCTTATGTTACACAGGATTAAGTAAAATTACGTAGCTTGGACTGGTGCTGCAGCACCACCAGCACCGGTCCTGGCTCCGCCACTGTTCTGAATAATTCTCGTCAATTTGGCCACCACATCCTCCATGGTTGGTCTTTGGTCTTGTGGCTCGCTCGAACATTGCAAACCCAATTCGAATATTGATGTGAGCATGACAGAGTTGCTCAAGTTGCTAGATGCAGCTTCAGAACAAGCACTAGCATACCAGGATGATTCTAGGTCATGCAGCAGTCTGCTGTCCAAAACATCTGCAAGTCTCTCTGGAAATGCCTGATCAACCCAGTGCCTGAGACTTTGATCTCCAACAAACATGGTATCCGTGGGTTTTTTCCCAGCGAGAACTTCAAGCAGCATAATTCCATAGCTGAAAACATCACTCCTGCGTGATGCTTTTCCCATCAATCCATATTCTGACCATCAAAGTTTCATAGATAAGAGAACTGTTAGAATTTATGCGAGATATCAATTGTCTACTACAGAATCATTTCAAAATTGAACATTACCTGGTGCCATATATCCTATAGTTCCAGGCATACTCGCTGAAACCATGGAGTTGTCTTCTCCTAGTAGCAGTTTTGCAATGCCAAAGTCTGCCACATGTGCTACCATGTCTTCATTGAACAGGACATTGCTAGGTTTCAAGTCACAGTGCAGAACTACCTCATAATGCTGATGGTGTAGATACTGTAGTGCCATAGACACATCTAGCATAATGTACAACCTCTTCATAAATGGTAGGTGTGGCCTATCTCCAGCATGCAGGTACATCTCCAAGCTACCATTGGGCATGTACTGAAGCAGCAATGCTTTGAAATCCAGGCTGGAACATGTGCTCAGTATTCTTATTAAGTTACGGTGCCGTGCCATGCGCAGCACTTGACACTCCGCATCAAAGCTTCTTGTGGCCTGCTCTAGCTGCATATTCAGGACTTTTACTGCGACCACCAGGCCATCATCCAATTGGCCTTTGAAAACTTTACCAAAACTCCCTGCTCCTAGTAGGTTGTCTTCACTGAAATTTTCAGTAGCACGAGCAATCTCATAGTAGGACACTAACCTGAAGCTGATCATATCACCTGCTTCAGCAGAACCCATTGGGCCTTTCTTCTTTGGATACTTTCTTCTGAAGATTAGACATATGCAAATAGATAAAGCTGCAAAAGCTATGGCAGCAATAGGGATAAAAATTCTGGCGATATGCCTAGTCTTAGAGGGGGGATTTTCTGTACTACATGATGGGAATCCAAGACGTGGTGCGCCACACAATCTATTGTTCCCTTTCAAAGATTCTAAGGTAATGATCGAGAAAACTCCGCCTTCCGGTATCTGACCTTGTAGATCATTGAAAGAGAGGTTAAGGCTAGTCAGATAGGTTAAGTTAGCGAAGTATTTTGGAATGATACCAGACAGATTGTTGTAGGAGAGGTCCAGTGTATTCAATCCAGTTAACTCGCTGAAGGTGACTGGGATTGAATCTTGGAATGAGTTATGCGATATGTTAAGGTAGGTTAGCATTAGGAGTTTCCCTAATGATTCTGGAATGCTACCAAACAGGCTATTACTAGAGAGATCCATTCGGTTTATCTGCTTTAATCCACTGGCATTTGTAGGTAAAGCACCAGTCAAGGCATTATAAGACAGATTGAGCTCGACAAGGTTGCCAAGGCGAAGCAAGCTTGCTGGTATAGTTGATGAAAATTGGTTGAAGGACAGGGATATGTATACTAACATGCTGAGATTTCCAAATACATCAGGTATTGAGCCAGAGAAGTTATTACCACTGAGGAATAGCTGCTGGATATTTCTTAGCATGCTGATCTCTGGAGGGATGGAACCGAAGAAACTGTTCCTAGAAAGTTCGAGTAATTGGACGTTCTCCATGGACATAATGGATCCAGGGATAGAACCGCTTAGTATGTTGTTTGAAAGATCTAGCAATGCTAGGACACTTAGGTTTGATACTGTAGCAGGAATTCCACCAGTCAACATATTGTTACTTGCATAAAAGGATTGGAGTTGTGTAGACAGGTTCCCCATATAGTCAGGGAGAGTCCCTGTGAAAGAACAATAGGATATGACAAGAGACTGGAGTTGTCTACAATTGCAAAGAGAAGCCAAAAAGCCAAGATCCCCATTTAGGAGGTTCCCACCGACACTCAGATACACTAGGGACTCAATGTTCCCAAGTGATGATGGCACTGATCCAGTCAGAAGATTTTCCTCCATTGCTAGGAAGAATAGTGCAGACAAGTTGCCCAATGAAGCAGGAATGGGACCAGTCAGCTGATTCTGAGAAACATGAAGCCATGATAGCTGTCCCATTCGGCCAAGCTCCGTAGGAATCTCTCCAGTTAGCTCACAGCGTGCAAGGTCAAGTACAGCGAGTGAAGTGATGTTGCTGAGAACAGGTGGGATCGATCCAGAAATGCTGTTCCCACCAATAGAAATGGCAGAAAGCATTGGCAACTTAACTATCCATATTGGTACAATATCCATAAAAGAGTTTTCGCCCAAAGAGAGCTCTTCAAGCTGCTGGCATGCTGCCAATCCTAGTGGGATCAGACCCATGAAATTGTTCTGATACAGATCAAATTTTTGCAACACAGGGAGACTGAAGCTGCGATTATCAGGAATAGGACCGGTTAGATTATTATTGCTTCCAAGAACCAGTATTTGCAGCCTAGACATGTTGAAGATGGTTGGAGGCACTGGGCCAGAGAGCTGATTTCCTTGCAAGATGAGGAATTCAAGCATGGGCAGAGAACCGATATTGTTTGGTATCAGTCCTGATAGTGTGTTGTTCCCCAGATCTATTTGTCTCAGCAAAGGTGTGCTATTGAACAGATCTTCAATTATTGGGCCGCTCAAGTAATTCATTTGCAAAGATATCTGCCTCAGATTTTGCATACTTTGCATCTCTGATGGAATACTCCCTGATAGGCGGTTCTTGTTGAGAACAAGCCTCTCAAGCCTAGTGAGGTTTCCAATGGCAGAAGGAACATAACCTGATAAGATGTTAAGGCTCAAATCTAGAACTTTGAGACGATGCAATCTGCCAATATCAGCAGGGATGGAGCCTGTGAGGTTTGTGTTTCTGAGGTCGAGTACAGTGAGGAATGAGAGGTTACCAAGATGAGGGCTGAGCTCTCCTTGAAGGGGCTTGTTGCGCAGAACCAAAGCTGTGACGCGCTGCCGGCGGTGGCTGCAGGACACGCCGGCCCAGTGGCAGAAAGGTGTGCCCGTTGTCCAGTTATGACGGATGATGCCAAGTGGGTCACTGAGCTGGGCTTGGAAGGCAAGCAGCGCCATGAGATCAGTATCATTGCTCGGTGAAGAAATGTTTCCCACAGCCTGGGGTAGCAGCACAGCCAGGGCGAGAATGCTGAGAGTAAACGGAAGGGCCATTGCAGAGGAGTTTAATTTCTTGCCACTAACTGTGAGAAAAACCTGGTGGGTTCTCGATCATCTTAAATAAACCCTGGGATTGGGCTTTGGAGATGTCATTATCAACAAATAGTTTCACTCTCAGTTCACTTTGTCCTAATTAGCCACTATCACCAGTGTTGACTACAGTATATTCCTGTAACTTATTGTGCCACCAAATTAAATTTTATCAAGATGAAATAAAATGGAATGCAAACCTTGGATTTATCTGGCGGAGGGAGCATAGGGGCACAGCCTAATTGAGATTTCCACCTTTTCAAATCAGTAAATCAAATACCTGAAACTAAGTCAGGGTGATGCTAAAAGCTCTACACTGTGCTATCGAGGCTACCACAAAGCTTATGTTTACTGCACTATATTCAGTCTTGGACTCACAAGATAATGGCAGTCACTGTCAGAAAAAGAAACATTGGTCATCTAATAGCAAGCAGTGTCTTGACTGTCTTCTAGCATCCAGCAATGAAAAACGCACAGTGACCTGCAGTGGAGATTGAATTCCATTACGCGCAAGTGACCGCACCGTGTCAGGTACGTAGAAAGAAAGACAAATGCATCATGGGGTGGGTGTGGTCCTATTCCACCCCCTTGTTACACGTTCATGAGGCATCACATCACTTGTCTATTTGTAAGAGGGAAAAATTACGTCAGCAACCCAATCGTCAACTTATTCAAACAGAAGAAAAATTATGGACATCGTTTTCCAAAAGAAAATATTTTTTCTGAGATAGAAACTGCCTGTTCACATCCTTCAACAATAGAGTATCAGAGTAATTGTATACAGTTTTTTCTTTTGTTTTGGCCGTTTTTTTTCTGCTGTTTCAAACCGGTAAGCTGTTTTTCTTAGTTTGTATTGCTGCTCTAGTAGTGGGTCTCGTTAGCTTTTTGAGCTGAGCAGTTGTTTGGTTTTCGGGTCCGGTTTCACCTTAAAAATTGGGTCAATTTTTTCTTCTAATCTAATAATATATGTGGCAATGCCCTCGCCGCTCGTTCGGGAAAAAAAGGAGTATTGCATACCAACAATTAAGCAGTCAGAATTCTTAAGCATCAGTCCAGTCAATGGGCGAGCGTGTAGTTGCCATTTGGCGGACAACAGTGACTAGCTAATGAACAATCCCTTGTTTAATGGAAATCTAGAGTCAACCAACAACAGTGACTACTGACTACAGAAGTTTCATTTTCCGAACCCGTGGTTTTGTCTATATTTCAAATCAAACATCTGTAGGATTATTATGCTACACCTCAGAGTAAGTTTTCTAGTGAATTAACAGGAAGCCTTGCTACTCTTATGTACTAATATCAATCCCAGATCTACAGTCTGGAAATCCCCCAATGTCACCCGCACCAATTCAGCCAACTTTTGATAATCCAAATTGAAACGCAATAGGAATAGAAAATGTTGTCTAGACTGGATTTGTGTTAAGAGCAGCTAGCAGAGTAGGCTCTACCTTGACGCTGCAGTTGTTGAGGAACATGGCTCTGTCCTACGCCCCTGCCCTGCGCAGGATACTGAGTAGGAGACCATGCCTCACTTGGCACGCCTCGCAGCGCTCCCATATATCACCGCCACCCGGCCACCACGGCCGCTTGGCAGGATGGGAGTCGCCTTCCCTGACCGCCGGAGGAGGTGGCAGCCAGGTAGCGGCGGCGATATGAGACTGAAGAGATCTCTGCCCATCGAGAAGCCATAGACATTATATTATTTTTTAATGTCTCTAATCTGGCCATCCCGGCCTGGTCCAACTGGACAGTTTCATGGGCCGAAACTGGTACGATGCAGTTGGGCTTTCAAATAAAGCCTTTTATACTACGTTGTATTGGCCAGAACATATAGACAAACAAGAGTCAGAGACATGAATCTCTCTCGTCTTATCTTCTTACATATTATCCACGTCTACACTATAAAAAGAGTGAACAAATTGATGACACTTTGTAACCAAAAACTCCATACCCACCTCTTCCAATCCCCCCACCCTTGGATGTATTCCCCAACGTTGATCTTGCGCATGCGGCTCACGAAACTTACTGACGTGTACCATTCTGCTAATATTGGAGTGGGTAAAATTTGTTGCAGGACATTCTTAAATGTTGGTATTTACTAATGGATACTGCTTAATATTGTCTTTGCTAGCACAGACTCTTCAATTGTGGCAATCAAACATTAGACATTATAGCTATTAAAATAATATTTCATAGGAGTGGACGCGAGATAGAAGTTAAAAGTGACCATTACGACCCATGACTATTATATCACAACCCTTAATAGTTATCTAAAAATTCATAACTTTTGCATATAAAGTTGGACAAAGACGGATTTTATATAAAAATTGTAGAGCTCAATGAGATCTAAAATTTTATAGTTGATGAGTTTTTTATTTAAAATTATTTATAGTCTTGATTTTTTTAAAAAATAGATTTTGAAATTTAAAATTTAGAATTTTCGAACGACTTTGGATATTGACATGGTATATACAAAAGTTGCAGTTATCAATACAATTATCAATACGATGTATAACTTGTACTTCCTCCGTCACAAATTATAAGTCATCCTAACTTTCTTGAAAATCAAATCATCTCAAATGTGACCAAATTTATATAATAAAATAATAACATTTATGATATCAAATAAGTATCATTAGATTCTTTATTAATTATATTTTCATAGTATACCTATTTGATGTCATAAATCTTTATAATTCTCTCTATAATTTTGGTCAAACTTGAGATGCTTCGAGTCTCCAAGAAAGTTGAAACAGCTTATAATTTGGGACGGAGCGAGTATTTGATAATTTTTTTTATCTGAAGCCATCTAGAGTTCTAATTATCCAATTTTATTATCTAAGATTTCTAAATTCAAAATATTGAATTTTCAAATGATTTCGGATGTTTACACGATCTATACCAAAGTCTAGGGCGGATCCAACGGTGGGGGGGGGGCTACCCATACCGGAGCAGTGGAACCCGTATGGAGCCTCAATGAATTTTTAGGCAAAAATCTACAGTGTAGGGGGAGTTGAGACTTAAGATCGAGCAGCAGTCGGAGATATGTGTTGTTCAGCCCCCCTAAAATATTTTTTGGATCCGCCGCTGTCGAAGTGTGTGGGTGTAGTGCTTGGTTTTGGTATTCAGGTCGATCAGTGCTGTCTGCAAGCTCACTAGTATTTGTCCGGGTGGTTCATTTCTTCCACAACAACAATAACATGAAACACACTTGAGTGATAGGCCCAGGCATAATTCAATCTATGCATCTTTTTTTTGTTTATTAAATGGAATAGCCTAGGTTTATTGTGGCAGCAGCGTTGATATGTCGTTGAAATGACTCCGCGCCGCAGTTTCCGAACAAGCCTACTACAGAACGGCTCACGATCTGGATCCGAGCAGCAAGGCGAAAAGGGTTCTTTACTTTACGAACAGCCAAAACTTAGATTTAGGGGGGACAAATGTCAATAAGAGGGGGAGGGTGCAATTGCCCTTTAATTACATGGCAATTAATTTAGCTAGGTCATTAAGAGATATAATCGAAAAAACAACAAAGTTAGAGGGGGCCGGGCCTAAACATGCGGACCCCGGTGTGTTTCCTTGGCGCCACCAACATGCGGACCCTGCTTGGCCACGCGGCCTAAAGCAAGAGGCTGACCGGAGCGCATGCCGATCGCCGACCCCGCTCCACACTAATCTGCTGCATGTGCTTCCTTGACGCCGCTGACAGCTCATTCTTTTCTCCCTCTTGCTCTCTGGCCACCCAGTGGCGACGGCGTGACCCTCCCCGGCCACCAGGAGGCGGCGCGTGGCCCTGGCCTCCATAGATCTAGAGTAATTTAGAACCGTTAATGCATGGAAACAATGGCAACCACACGAATTGCCTTGCCCATATGGACACAAGACGTTTAGGGGTCGACAAAAAGCTGTGGAGGAGGTGTGTTGACAGGGACACCAGTGCAAATACTGCGATGGCCATGGCTAGAGTAGGAGGAGGAACAAGATGGCAAGTGGGTGAGTAAGAAGAAGGGGGCATGTCCAGTCGGCATGAAAATGAGCAATCCGTTGACCTTCAAAAAACAATTATATATGTATGTCTTTATACCTAATATTAAAGAGCGAAGTGATTATTTCCTTTGACTTTTTTTACTTTCCAATGTGCCCCCTCACGCCCTCCATATTCTATATGTGACCTAGACTCACGACTATGCTCATACGAGTTGAAACTAATCACGTTAAACGATTGTACGGAGTCCGACTCCAAGATATATTGGGTTTCGTTGTAACGTACGAGCACATTTGCTAATAAAAAAATAATGTGATATGATCCTAGTTACTGGGTGAAGCGTCTGACCATCAAGCTACAAATAAATGTATTTCTACAAATGGCCATATTTCATTACTATAGAAATCGTTTTTAGAGGCGCCTCTATAAAAATCCGCCTCTAAAAATGGTTTACTCTGCCGGCCCGCCTTTAGAAATTGATTTTCAGATGAGGTTGGTCTGTTGGCGAAACGACATAAACCAAAGTTGTAGAACACGAAGAGATCTTAAACTTTGCAGTTCAAAGTTTTTTTTTATTTTAATTCGTTTAGGTCTCAAATATGCATTACAATATTTACTATACAAAAGAAATGTATCAGTTACTTAGTCACAAGTGACTGGGAGGCATAGTGATAAGAAAGCAACGTGAGGCTAGAGGTCCCGAGTTTCAATTGTCGCGGCCGCACGCGTGCGTATTTTACACAAAAAATCGTCGCGAGGGGTTGGCTGGTAGGCCTCTCCTAGATTAATTTTTTTTGCCATTTTGGCCCGTTTTTTAAATTCTAAAAAATGATTTCTAGACGGCCTACTTCTAGAAATCGATTTCTAGATACGGCTGGATATCCACCTCTAGAAATCGCTGATTTCTAGAGACGCATAGATAGATATGGATGTAATATATAACCGCTAGAAAACAATTTCTAGAGGTGGCTCGGATTTG